AGTATAAAGGCATAAAGCACTCATTGACATCATTCAATGATGTTTTCTAAGCTCGCTTTTATGTGAGAGATTTTATCTGTATAATGATTATTAAAGTCATCACAATCTGCTACTGACAGTTCTAGCAGTGGATTCATTCTGATGACTTGGCCTTATGTAATTATATGATTGTATTTTAATGTATTTTATGTATTAGTGCATTATGTGATGTGATATTTTAAACTATTGTTTATGAATCTTTGGTTGTGAACCGGCCTGAGTCCCTCTGCGGAAGTCAAGAAGACCGGTATATAAAAGTTCTAAATAAATAAATTCAGAGGGGTGGGTACCTGGATTAAACTCTCACCACTCTAAATAGCTCAGCTGAATTTGCAGACACAATACATGCAGAAAAGAAAGCTTTCTTCACTGCATGAATTGCTACCTTATAAGAACGAAGAGGTCCTCTTCATGTCGCCCTTTCCGGCTGTGCAGTTGCGCCTCTAAAGCCTCACGTCCTCCTCCCTTCATCTCACAGTGGGGACAAGGCAGGGTGTGTTGGCACCCTTTCCCTCTCCCCATCAAATGGCAGAAAGGGTGGCAATACATGTTGCCCTCCTGCCCTTTCTGTCATCACATGGCCAAAAAGGGGAGGAATGTGCAAGTAGCTCCATTGGAGCTACCCAAACTATACTTTCCTTCCTGTAGTGGTAGAGGAAGCACCTTTTGGCGCTTCCACCCCACTTTGGGAGAAATGTAAGTGGAGTCTGACATGCGTTGTGTGATGGTGCATGAAGGCACCATCCAAGCTGCACATAAAAGCGACAAAACGGGGTAAAAATGTGCCATGTGAAGAGGTCATCTATCATGTCTTGTCACATAGAAATTTAGTTTTCTGCTATCTGTGCTGTAGTTGTCCTTCCCGTTTCATTTCCCTGAGAGACTCTGTATACCAGGGAGCCTGTTTAGTAACATTTGGGAGAAATAGCTCTGACTAGATTGTGATTCCAATGATTGACCAGGGCTTCAACAGGATATCTTCCTAAAATCTCCAAGCATCAATTAGCCTTGGGGGGGGGGGGGATCATTTTAATAGATCCTCCACCCCTATAGGGATAAGTTGTAATTATGATGCTACCCCCAACTAGATTATGATGCACCCCATCTTATTCTCAGGTCTATTCTTCTTCAGTCTCAGGTTTATTCCTCTTCAGGCTGTGATGAAAAAAACTTTTTTCATATATTGTCACTGTCTGTATTTTTGGATAATGAATTTAAAAAACACAGTAAATCATTGTACTTAATGCAGTTCTTTCACCCATTTGACATTTTTATCATCTTAGTTGTTACTTGGTCCAGGTCAAGTAACCAACCATCATCAGGGTCTCCTGGAAACAGGCGAGTGGAGGGCATGCCTGTCTGGAATGGTGTCCTGGGTGGAAGGGAGGAAGGAGGAGCTCTTGTCTGTTGGATGCAAGGGGGAAGGTGGCCGTTGGCCAACCTGGATGCATGGGCACTGACCGGCCATCCTGACCACCACCATCCCCACGGTGCCAGGCAAGACAGAGAAGCCAGTGGGGCCCATGAGAAGCGGGTGGGCCATGTCCACGGGAAGGAGGGACCGTGGGAAGGGAGACGGTGCTGAGAACACTCCAGGATCAGGGCAGCAAGCCAAGAGCAACACTTGCAAAGAGGGAATCCCAGGAGAGGAGCCATTAGGGCCAGCTCATCGCCTGTTCCCAGGAAGGGATCCCCAGGCAGGGAGGGAGCAGTCAGGCTTGGAAGCTGCAAGGCTTTGCAATGCTAGTCAAGGTGATTCACACTTCCCTCAAGCGAACAAGAGTTTTTTTTCCCCCAGGGATAGATAGATACATAGATAGATAGGTAGGTAGGTAGATCTAACCCCCACCCCACCCCGGCCTAGTTTCCCACAGGCAGACCCCTCCCCCTCTGAGGAGGCCTTCCGCCATTGGGGTGGGGGAAACGTCAGGAGAGAGTGCTTCTGGGACATTCATTGAAGGTTACAGGCAATGTGGGGAGCGGGGGGGAGGGTAGAGGGTTGGCTTCCTGGCGCCGGGGGGCTGCTGCGGGGCACCTTCCATCCTGGAAACTCAACGGGAGGCACGTTGCCCCACGGAACTCCCCGCCGCAGTATTCTCCCCCTCTCCTTGGCGCGCTCTGTGAGAGGGTCCCGCGGCCTTGGGGTTTTCTTCCCTCCCTCCCTGCCTCCCTCGCTCCCTCCGTGTGTGTGGGCTTCCGCTCTCCCTCTCGTGAGCCCATGGTAGTAGTAGGCCTCGCTCACCCGCGGGTGCTTCCGACCCCTTCTAACTCGGCTCCCCTTTCCCGGCCTCCTCCCTCCCTCCCTCTCTCTCGCTGAGAGGGGAAAGGAAAGGGCCTGAGGGATGGAAGAAGGAAGGAAGGAAGGAAGGAAGGAAGGAAGGAGGAAGGAAGGAAGGAAGGAAGGAAGGAAGGAAGGAAGGAAGGAAGGCCCAAGTGGGTCCACGCCTGGCCTCTCTCCTCCCCGAAGGAAGGAAGGCTCTCCTGGCTGGACTCCCCGGGGGCTGCTTGCCGGGAGTCTTGCCGAGACGCTCCAGAGGCACTCTCTCCTGACGTTTCGCCCGCATCTCAGGCAGGCTCCCGGGGGGAGGGGGGGGACTAAACATATCCCTGTGGAGTGGTGTGTCCCGGGTGGGAGGAGAAAAAACGAGTTCTTCCCTGTGGGAGGCCAGCAAGGGGAATGTTGCCCTTGGCCACCTTGAGGAGAAGCACCGACTAGCCTCGCAGCTTCAAGGCCTGGCTGCTCCCTGCCTGGGGACCCCTTCCTTGGGAGGCGATGTGCCGTTACACCCAGACGCTTTAAAATAAAACTTTGACGTGCTGCTATCTGTGTCTGGGCAAAACTGCTGGGGTCTTTCTTTAGGCAGATTGAGCTTTCTTGAATAACTGAGTCCACTTCAAGAAACATTAAACAGGGTATTTATTCACAAAGTCCTGGTAGACTTGGCTCAGCTTATCAATATTACAAAACAATAAGTAATACACTCTATCTATATTAATAAATTCTATCTATATTCAATTGTTCCCTATCTATGACTTAATTAAACTCAATTACTCAATAAATCTATCTATCTCTATCTATCTACCTATCTATAATCTATAGGTCTCAATTAAACTAAATTACTCAATTAAACTAAATTACTCAATTAAACTAAATTACTCAATTAAACTCAATTGTTTTTACAATGGTATCTTCGGAGGTACCTGTCTGCCAACAGCACATCATGGATTCTTCCTAAGACTGAAGGGGCAGGGAGACCTCCAAAATGGCTGCTTCTACCCTGGAAGCAGGGGCAGGCCCAAAGAGCTACTCTTTGGCCAATCATTGCAGAGGGCCTGCAAACTGGCTTTCCTGCTTCTGGCTGCTAACTTTTTAGGCCTTGCAGAGGCTGCAGCAGCCTGGGAGAAACTCAAGGAGAGGCTGTTTCCAGCAACTTAAAGGTAATGCAGAACCCATACTCCTGGGAGACGGAACAGGCGATGTGCTGGCCCCGGTTGTTCCCTGCCTGGGATTCCCTCTCTTCCGAGTCCAGGCTCCCTCCCTCCTTCCTTCCTGTGGACATGGCCCGCCTGCTCCTCGTGGGCTTCCACGGCTTCTCCTCTTTGTGGCCTGAACAGCCTCGCAGCTTCAAGGCCTGGCTGCCCCCGCCCTCCTTGGCCCCATTCCTGAGGAGTGAGTTCCCCCTCACAAACAACCTGCTCCATCTCTCTCTCTCTCTCCCTCACCCCGTGTTTTGAGCTTTGGTCTTTTATTCTGTACACTGTGACAGTGTTAGGAATATCTAGG